GAGGGGAGGATAAGCAACATAACTCGCAGGAATGTCCTCAATTTTGCCAAAAGCCTTTAGTTCATCTGTTTGCACCAACAGAGTTTCCCTTGGATTTTTTCCTTCGATGTAGTTTCTTGATCCAGAAAGTTCACATGAGATCAAGCCATCCACTAACGCTATGCATATGGAGAATGCTTGCAAAAGTGAAAATGAAGAATCAAAAGCTACAGAATATACACCAGGCTTAAAGGGTGAAAAACTGAAAGCAGGCTGGTTCTCTTGGTCTTGGTCATTCCCCTGTAATTAACATTGATAGTTGTTAAATAACCTTACTAATCAATCATCCACAGATTAACCAACAAGATTAATAAGAAAAAGCTTAGGAAATAACCAACTTAAATTAATCATTGTAGTACCTGAAGGAAAAGCTCAAATGGATGTGGGAAACAAGCTTTTGATATTCTTGATTTTCTACAGGCTTGACTTTCATTTACGAGGGTCTTAAGTTTACAAGCCAAATCCCAACCACCACAGTCACATGATCCACCTGTTCTCCAGCGCTCAATCAGTGATGAAGGTCCACCGTTACTTGGAAGACTATGAACCCCAGTTGGGAGCACAACTGTTACATGTAGGTCTCGACTGTCATTCTGGCAACCAATCTGATGTGGATAATTGATAGCCTTCAGAGATTTGACAATCATAGCAGCAAGCTCGTCATTTGGTTCATAGTCAGTGACCCGACCATCTCCTTGCTTTAGCTTTACAGAAAACAAAACAAACTCTTTTGTGGTAGAGGAGTCCACACAATTCTGGTTTGTTGAATCATAATGGTGTGAATCAGAAACCTTCATCTGGGCAACAGCATGGTGAATATAATCAGGAGTTTTGCTCTTGCTTGCTTGATTCATCCAACTCCCGTTCTTCTTTTTACCCTCCCTAAAGGTGAAAAAGGTATAGATATGGCTGCATTCGTCTTTCTTTGAGACAGCCAAGTTCTTCACTGTGGCCACAAGAATGTTGCTATTATTGTCAACGGCAAATGTCAAAAGCGGCTGACCATTCTTCACGGAAATTCTTAGAAGTGCTTGAAACGATGATGGCACGTACTTCTTGCTCTTTGACAAATCAACTGAATTTATTGTGGTAGTACAACCAACTCTCTGGTCCCTGTCCATTTCTTTCTCCATAGAAAATTTCCCATGACCAGACCTACAATTCTTATTTGTTATCACTGGATCTTTTCGAGGCGACTCCATGGAAGGATGGCAGTTTTCTGACTTCGGTTTCAGCAGTGGATCCAGTAATCTCCTTAAAGGGCTACTGGACCTGCTTTTGCTAGCATTGCCAGGTTTACCATTGACTGGATTTTTTGAGCTAACATAACCTCTTACATTTTCTGAACTAGATTTAAGTGCTGCTATGGAGCTCTGATGTGGCACATGCGCAACCTCTTTACAGCCAGAACCTTTACCTGTAAAACTAATGCTGAAGCTAAATCGACGAAAAGGTGAAGAACTTCTTGATTTCTCAGTAGTTACTTTCTGGTCTAATCCCTTGAGAGACCCACTTGCAGATGAAGATGCACCAATGTCGTGTTTCTTTTCCTCGACCTTTCTAGATTTGGATGGACTTTTCCCCGTTCTGACCGGTACAGGTGCTGATATAGTAGAAGCGGGAATTTTAATACCATCTGGATCTATGGAACTGGATCCTGACCTTTTTGGCTGAGAATGGCTTCCACTAATTTCATCTGGCAGAGGACGAGAGTAGGAAATATCAGAATTTGAATATGTACAGGGAGGTTCCTTAGGTTTCCCTGAAAATCTTGTTTGAGTAGGACTTCCTAGCTTTTGACCCAAGGAGGGTAGCATATCAGGAACTTCACAATGATTATTCTGGGGGATGTCTCTAGGCAAAATAAGAACAATTGGTTTGCTTTTCCCAAGCATAACTTGCTCATCAGTATAAATATTTGGTTGTCCAAAATTCTCCACTTTCTTCTCCAACCCACCATCTTGAGCACTCACTTCAAGCTTCTTACTTGATGCTGCCCCGTACATTCCGTAATTTGGCAGGGTATCACTTTCCTTATTAATATGTCGATTCAGTTGTCTCCTATGGCATCCTTTTGGTATACTAGTAGGATGGTTTTGGGAAAGATCACCAACTCGAGCATATTTGCTCTGTGTGTCCATATTACTGCAGCCACCTCTAAGATTCTGACAATTTCCAAAACTTCCTTCAGAGGATTTGACAGCTACAGTGGAGTCTTGCATTGGAGATGCCTTGAAGTGAGATTGCAGCGACGGGCGAAATATCCTTTGATGAGAAGGAGAACAACTGACACCTTTGCTAGAATTACCAGATAATCCCTCTGATGAAACAGAAGATGATGTATTACTAGCAGATGTCGAGCTCCGGCTACTTAAAAGAACATGTTTATGGCTGTGCTGCCAATGTTGCAGAGTGGCCCAATCAAGCACCCCAACATTCAAAACTTTTTCAGGAATTTTTTCTCCCTTCTCCAGGTAGCCTGGTAAATTTGACATGTACTTAACCAGCTCGTCTTCCTCACTTGCCCTTCTATAAGTTGCTTGCTTTTGCTGATTTCTGTAAGGTTTTAAAGAGTTGTCTTCCTCACTTTTGGTGATTTCATGATGAAAATCAGCATATGACAAAGAAATTTTATCCGTTTTCAACTGGTCATTAAATTTTCTATTCATGCTGTTGGATGATTTCCAGAATTTCGCTCTGACCTGGCATCAGCTGAATAAACTGTCTGGGCTGCAGGTTTGAAACAGCATACCACCTTTTTGTAGTCCAAAGAGAATGCAGTTGGGAAAATGCTTCTGCTTGTTTTTCAGCTGCACAACTGGATTATATTCACAAATCAAACTTCCATAAACAAAGATTCCATGGTACATAAATAAGAAATTATAATTGAGAACAAACAAATATATCAATATCAAGGGTGTCTTCTAAGACCACATTTTCTTTTATTTCCTCCTAATAAACATGGAAACCAAATGCAAACCATTATGCAAAATCACAATAGCAGGGAGTTAGATATACATTGCCGACTACATTAAAGACAAAACAAGCAAAAACTAAACCTGTCATATCTATAACTTGGTCGGCAGCAGCAACAAATGAGAAATTTCAATCAGGTTAATTCAATGGAAAAGCCAATACAATGGTAAGAAGTGATAAGACTGAAAATCTTTCTGAGAAAAAAAAAAAAAAAAAAAAAAAAAAAAAAAAAAAAAA